TACAAACAACCGTTATGTGAACAAAACTATAATACTCTCTTTAGCAACTTTGTTGCGAGAGTATAATAATTTTTAGCAATAGCTGGAGAAACGCATTCATCATTCTCGTTTTGTTTATTTGGAAGTATTATATTTGAGAGAGAATTGCCTGAATATTGATTTCATTTTTCTCTTCTTTTATAATCTCCATTTTGTCTACTCTACATCCGGACCACGATCTCTACTCCACCAATTGCTTCGTTACTCGCTGATATTATCTATTCGTAAAAAAACACAATGTGCAAAACAATTACAACAACTACACCAACTACTGTTATGCAACAACAACGACACAAATGCAACACCATTCACCGGCAATTTTCGGCTTTTGTGGAACAACRCAACTATAAATATACCTGCATATGTACATACGTACATTCGTATGCATTTCCGCACGACTCGTAGGTGCTTCTAAATCATTTGGGATTATACGAACTTTTTCCATCGACCGCCCTAAATCAACTGGGCGGACATCTGCTTTGCAGCCAAGATGCGCCCACACAGAATCTCTGCCTGCTGTTTACGTTTCTCACGGTTGGCTTCAGCGACTACCAAATGGATCGTGTGAGTATGGCCATAAGCTAGCCTTAATTTTATAGATATTTTATTTTAAAATTAAAATAACACCCCCTATCAAAGATGTGTCAGAAGGTGCGGTACAAACCCATCAGGAAAATGCAAGCTAAAGCGAAAGTTTATAGTTTAGTACGGGATTAATTTCGCTGTGTCGAGTTTCGTGAAGATATTTTGTCAATTAAAAACAGGACTTGATTTTGACCGAACAGTTTCCATAGTTCGACATTCACTCCACTAATGAATAGCTTTTTGGAGCTAAAAAAACAAGTGCAAATGTCAGGAACATATGTACTATAGATAGACAGGGAGACGAACATGACTTAATTGGCTCAGCTCTTTGGACTGATAAGATAAAWAGATGAGAATTGGRTTGTGATCTAAGGTCCATTATGCCCTATACGTATACTCGTATTGTKATATTTATGGGATTTCCGGCTTTTCCTTCGTGACAAACTAAATATACACTATCTAGAGTAAAGCAAAAATAAAAAGCAAGTCGAAAATATAGAATGGCGAAGCACTCATCGCTGAACGCACGAAAGCATTTACTACAATTTTTCAGTCATTCTCCACCCACTTGGAAGCAGTATCTTTCCTCACAGGGCATATACAGACGAGTTCGCATACACATTCATATCTKTACGCAGGAAATAAATTCCCGTTACCGAAAGTTTTTTATTGCACACCCTGGAAAMCCGTTATATATTTGGTGTCGATTTCATTTTAGGTATTCGTTTTAATTTTACCTGTGGTCGCATGCGAGAAAGTTGCCAAAATTTGCATTTTTATGTGTCTAACTTTGTAGCGCTGGGCAATCYATGGCGTAAATGCACTTGAGATTATCAAAGGCAGAGCACAAAGGCCGATACACATCTACATCCTTGTATGCAGAACGGTTTTTCTTCCGTTAGAATGCCTTCTATTTTAGATTGCATTATTCTTGTATCCAAATATACGCTTTTAAATTAGGACAAAGGGCATTTAATGAAAGTGAATTAGCTCAGCATTTCAAGTCAGGTAGTAATCTTAGCACCAGATCCGTACTATAAGATGAATGCTTAAAAATGGTCCAACCAAGCTC